ATAAAGCTTATAATAACTATAGCTTACTATCTAGAAGCTAATAGCTAGTCTAAGTATACTAACTAAATAGTAGCTATTACTATATACTTTTTTATTATAGTAAACTCTAATAAGAACTAGACCTAAGTAATTATATATATATAGTTTATAATAAATACTAGTAAAAACGCTTTAACTAGCTACACTTCTTATAAATACCTTATAGAATTTAATCTCTTATAAGAGATTAACCTTACTAATATAAAGTATACTCTTACTAAGTAAGACTTTAAGCTACTTTAGTTATATTACTAGAAAAAAGTAGAAGAGGCTTTTAACTTTACTAGAGTTACGTAAAAAAATATTTATAATTACTTTTACTAAGCTATTAATCTTAAGCCTAGTAACTACGCTACCTTTATTCTCTACTATAGATACTAGATAAAAAGTAACTTTATATAAAAACTTAGTTTATAACACTATAGCTCTCTTAAAGTACTTAAAAAAATTAGTAAAAACGCTTTTTATATTAAGCGCCTACCTAATTTAAGAATATATAATATTATTAATACTACTTAGCTTAAACCTTACTATACCTAAGAATAAGACTCTTAGTATTACTCTTTTTCTATTCTCTATAAAGTTACTACCTTATAGAAGCCTAAACTTAAGCTAATTAAGTAAATACTTAAGTAACGCGTCTATTAGGTTACTAGCTAATATAAGTACTTTATTAAGTAGTAGAACTATTTTATAACTTATAATAGATAGCTTACTTTATCTTAGCTTTAGAACGTAAGTAAACTTAAGAAAGACTATAATACTAAATTCTCTTTTACTAAATAGAAAATTTATAAGTAGAATTATATTTATAGTTAGAAGGTATAGAAGACTATCTATAACTACTATATTTAGAGTTTTTTACTAAATTCTCTAGAAGATAATACTACTTAAGACTTAGCCTCTATATTACTTACTACTAATATCTTTTATAATAATAATAGCACTACCTCTATTATCTATATACTTTCTCTTTCTTAATAATAATATAACCTATAACTTATAGAATAACTTAATTAGAGAGATATTAAAATCTAATATAATTCTAGTATTACTAAAGTGTAGAAAGGTTTTAAGTTCTAACTACTTTCTTAAGACTCTAGTAACTACTTAGAGTATAACTAAGCCTTAGATATTACTAAGAAGAGACTTTATTAAGCTCTAGTAGTACTTCTTCTAGACTCTAGTAATAACTTAAGATATAACTAAGCCTTAGATATTAATAAGAAAGAACTTTAATAAGCCTTAGTAGTACTTCTAGACTTTAGTAACTACTTAAGATATAACTAAGCTTTAGATATTACTAAGAAGAGACTTTCTTAAGCTTTAGTAGCACTTTTTTCTAAGAGATAAAGAGCTACTCTATAGTTAGTAGAGTACTCTACTACTACTTAGTTTTCTATCTTTTTAGCGTTTATTCTTTCTTTTAGTAATTTTCTCTTATAGCTTTATTTTCTTTATTATACTAGCGTTACTTACTTTCTCTTAGTGTTTCTATTTTTAGTTTTTCTCTATATAATATAAAAACCTAGTTAAGTCTTCTTTCTTATATTCTTAGTTATTTACTACTACTAAGTTATCTAGTAGCTTACTTAGAGAGTTTTTTCTCTTAATATTATAATAGTAGCCTTCTTATATCTTACTAGAGCTTTAAGTACTCTACGCTTTCTATAAGTATATTAAATTAGCTATCTACCTAGTAACGTTTATATATATAGCTAATATATAATATACTTTATAACTTTTTACTAGCTTATTACTATACTTATAAGGTATCTTTTACTATAATATAACTTTTTCTAACTCTAAATCTACTAAGATAGTAAGAGAATATATATTTTCTACTATAACTATAGCTCTTATAGTCTTCTTTTATTTTTACCTACTCTATAAAGTACTTAAAGTAAATCTCTCTACCTTTTCTACTAGCTTTCTTATACTTATCTCTTTTCTACTTTCTTACTTATAGTAGTTAAATATACGTAGGCCTTGTTTTTAACTACTATATCTACTATAATTTACCTCTACGTACTATAACTAAAGTCTTATCTTTTATATTAGTTTCTAGGTATTATAAGAGAACTACTAGGTTCTAGATCTAATAAGCTCTAAGATATATAACTTAACTTTACATTCTTAGGCTAATAGAGTTAATAACTCTCTTACTAAGCCTAATATTAAGTTTAACTTTAACTTTCTTTATAGCCTAGAAGACTCTAAAAGCTCTTCTATACACTTTACTTTAAGTATAGCTTTACTTATAGTAACTTAAGATCTACTATAAAGCTAATTTTTTATAAAACTTTAAAATAGCTATAATAAAGTAGCTACGCTTATAAACTAGATAAGCCTATAAGATCTAGCTCTTACTAGTATAGTAAATAGTAGCTATAAAGCGCTATTAACTCTAGTTTAGCTATTTTCTTACTCTAAATATTAATAAGACCTAGTAGTATATAACGTAGTAGATAATTTTAGCTAGAAAGACTAGTAAGATTATATCTCTACTATAGTTACTTTTATTACGTATACGCTTTATAATATCTATACTTTAGTTAATAAAACTACTTAGTAGTACTACTATAATACTACTATAATAATTAAGTATTATATTACTAGTCTATAGAGCGTAGTATATTCTAAAAGTAAGTATAGTAGTATACCTACTAGAATTAGCTTTTAGAACCTAAATACTATTATTAGTTAGTAATTTAACTACTATATATTTAAGAAGGTTAAGAATTTTACTACTATATATTAGAATAATACTCTACTAATAGTTAGTAGCAAGAAGGCTCTAAAAGCTAGTTTATTCTCTATAATTAAGAATAAGAATAGTATAATAGTAAAAACTCTCTTTAATATAACTCTTACTAATAGTAGTGCTACTTATAATAAGTAAGTTATTAAGATACTTTATAAGTAAGGTTACTAGATCTTTACACTAGATAATAACCTTCTAGACCTAGAAGAAGGTATAAGCGCTTAGAATATTACTTTTTACTAAAAATATTAAGATCTTACTATATATATACCTACTCTATATAACTAGAAGAAGAAATAAAAGATATAGAAACTTATTATAAGTATAGTAAAGAAATATAAAGTAATTACTAAGACATTTCTACTAAAGAGTAAGAAACTATTCTACTTTATAGAGAAGAATCTAAATAGAAAGTATAAGAAAAAGTTCTATATACTTATTAATTCTAATATATACTAAACACTACTCTAAGTAATTTTTCTAGACAATCTAGACGTATATAAAGATAGTAACTTTGTTTAGACTTACGTTTTCTACTATATAAAGAGTATAGCTATAGAAATAACTATATATAACTTTAGTAATTAGAGCTTCTATCTAAGTTATTAAACCTCTTACTACTAAATGCGCGTACTAAAAGATAGAAAGAAAAGTAATAAAAAGGTAAGAACTAACTATAGATTAAAGTAAGACTACTTCTATCTAAAAGGTTAGAGCTCTCTTTAGTATAATAGATATTTTAAATCTAATAGTTATAGTATCTTACGCTTATAAGAAGTAGAATTTAATATTAAAAGTACTAAGTGTAAGAGTCTATATAGATATAACGCTATATAAACTAGTCTAGAGCTTATTCTAAAATACTAATTTATTAGAAAGGTCTACCTTACTAAAGAAGAAGTTAAGTAATAAGTAAAGGCAAAGTAAAACTAGAACTAATTTCTTAGACTAGTTAAGAAAAAGTCTAGAACTTATTACCTTAAGACTTCTATTACTAAGAATAATATAGATACTAGACTATTTAAAAAAGAACTACTTAATAGCTATAAAGACTTTAATAGTAATATTAAGAAAAAAAAAATTACTAAAGTAAAGCTTTAAAAGAAGCTTACTAAAACGCTTCTACTAAAGCCTAAGGCTACTCTAAAACTTACTATTATATCTAAGCGTAAGGCTCTAATTAATTAACTTTTACTACGTAAAAGATAAGCGCGCTTACTAAGCTATAACTCTACTATAGAAGATAATTTTAATAGAATCTATAGTAGGTATAATAAAGAAGTTAGTAATAAGTTTATTTAGACTACAAAAGAATAATATATATATAATATTAAGTAATAGCTTCTTCTTATAAATAAGACTATTAGAGATACTTTAATATATAATTAATAAGAAAGCACTATTATAAGTACTAGTGTAAAAGTAGAATAGGTTAACACAGGATTATACAAACGCGAACCTCTACTAAGTAATCTAGGTAGAGCTGTCGCTTATAAGAGGTTTCTCTAGGTTTCTACGCTAGCAGAGCCTACGCTTGCGTAGGCTAGCGTAGTCTAGAGAGGTCTAGAGAGATCTAGAGCAGTCTACGACTAAGCAGTTGTAACAAAGTCTTTCTTCTCTCTAGAAGTGCGTCCCGCACAAGATAGAGAATTAAAAAAATTTAGAAGATTATGTAAGCGCTAAGCCTAGGCTAAAATGTAGCCTGTGCGTCGATATTAGAGAATCTCTTTTTAGGCTACCTACCTAGACTCCTTACTCCTACCTATTATTTAGTAAGTATTCCTAAAATCTCTACATGTTAGAATTAGTCTAGACTACCCTAGATTAGAGTAGATCTAGGCTAGCCTAGCGTAGTCTAGCCTTGCCTTTCCCCTTCTTTTACTAACAAGTGTAGAAGCCTATTAACTAACACTATTAACCGCGATCTAGCGCAATCTCGCGCTATTTATCTCTATCTTCTGCTGCCTAGAGCATTCTAGTAATAACTAGCTATCTTTAATCCCGATCTAGTCCTATCTATACTAATCTAGTCGCAATGCAGGCGCTTAGAGCCTAGCAACTAAGAGACGTAACTACTAAGGCCAGACACAACCTAAATAGTTGTGTACGCTGTAGCAACATCTTGTATACTACTGTTAAGAACAACTAGTAGACTAATCTAGTGCCCTACTACTATCTACTAGACAAGAACTACAAGATGCAGGTTAGTGCTTCTTCCTAGAGCTATCTATACTAATCTATACTAACCTAGACCCTACAGAGCAGGACTACTATAATAGCGTCTTGTACTATTAGTAAGAAAAAGGCTCTAACCTTTCTTCGCTGTATTCTCTACAACTTGTCTAGTTAAGATTGTTTTTAAGTAAGTAATACTATCCTAGTGTAATCTAGGCTAATCTAGACTAAATCTAGCTGCCTAAGTACGCTGTCTCTAGTATTATCGCAATATAGGCGAAGATCTACAGAATGTACTCTTAGGCGCTCTTAAACGCTCTAGTCTACAATGTCTTAAACGCCTCTACTACAGACAAGTTATCTCTAAAGCAGAACGTTAAGGCCTAGGCTACTACCTTCGCTATGTAAGTAATCTAGAGTTATCTATACTAATCTGTACTAATCTAGGTAGAAACACTATCTAATACGTTAACAATAAGAATACGCCTCTGCACTCTAGTAAGCATGTCTAGTTTAACACTAAGGTTCTTAGAGTCGCCTAGAAGGCTAAGTCTCGCAGTAACGCTAACAGGGCTCCTAAGACTCCTAGCAAGTGCGTAAGTACACTCTTCTCTATTCTAATCTAGACCTATCTAACCTAGTCTAGAAGAAGAAGAACGCAGATTCTCTTAAGAAGAAGGTTCTAGCTCTAGAGGCTAAGGTTAAGGGTCTTGTTAACTTGCTATTCTTAATTAAGAGTAAGCCGTCTAAGGCTACTAAAGATAGCTTCTAGGCTAATTACCCTGCTCCGCCCTAGGCTAACCTAGCGTAGCCTAGGTCTATCTAGAGCTATCCCTAGGTTAATTTAGATAGTCTTGTTCTAGTTAGCGTTTTCTAGTTGTAGAGTTTAGCGTCTAAGATACTCTAGTGTAGATTAGTCTAGGTCAGGCCCTCTAGAGTCCTTCCTAGTTCTAATCTGCCTGTTATTGTTCTTTGCATAGTAATTAGTTACTATCTAGCCTAGATAGGTCTAAATTAGTACAGATCAGCTTTAGCCTTAGAAATATAATTATTAATTCCTTTATGCTTATAATTAAGATTTAAGTAATTTTAGAGTCTATTACACTTAAGAAATTTGTTAATTTATTTAATCTAATGTGTCCTCTAGCCTGCCCTGTTAGGATGTTAGACTAGGCTAATCTAGACCTATCTAGCCCTTTCTAGGCCTACTCTAGCGTAATCGCCTCTAGTTAAAGTGTTCTTAGAACTTCTTAAACGCCCTTATAGCGCTAAGAGAGATCTTCTCTAAAGGCAGCTATTAATTATTAGAGTCTAGATAGCCTGTCTATTTAACTAAGTACATCTAAGAATCTTCTACCTTTTGCTTCTTAAGTATCCTATCTACCTTATACACGTTGTTGCCTACCTATAGAGTAATGCAATAGAGTAGATCTTAGTCTCTCTAGACTAGACTAGTATTAGGAGCGTTCTCTAGTAGGCTAACGTAGAAGACTAGGTAGATTCTGCTGTCTTCTAGAAGGTCTAGTTAGTAGGCTTACTTACTAATCTATTCTGTTACTTTAAGTAGGCCCTAGTACTTGTAGTCTAGTTTCTTTTTAGGCCTAGTTATGCGGATATTGCGTGTGTCTAGCATAACCTAATCACTAACCTTAAACTTCTTAGGCTTATAGCTTTTATTATACGCCTTCTATTAGTACTCTTAGACTCTTACTAAGTTTTATTATACTATTTTGCGCACTTTCTTGCGTAGTTTCTAGTCTTAGAGCGCGCGCTTAGACAGTCTAGCTAGATCTAGGCTAGTTAACTCTAGTGCGGATAGGATCGTGCGGCTATACACTAGCTTAAATAGAGCAACGCTAGTTAAGTTATGTTTAGAGTTATTATACGCAAACTTAGCGTCAGCTAGCAGAGTTGCCTAGTTATTCTACTCGTAGTTTATATAGGCTCTAAGGTACTACTCTAGAACCTAATTTATACGCTCTGTCTAGCTATTAGTCTAGAGGTAAAAGGCTATTAACAGTAGTTGTCTAGTCTCTAGGCATTAAGCAAAGGTGCTCTAGTACACCAACGTAAACAGCACCCCTCTATTAGTAACTACTAACTTTAGTAGGCTGTAGAGGCGCACAATCTCCTAATAGAAGGTTTTAGCTAGTTCTAGCGCGTCTAGGTTACCTCTAGATAGTATAAAGTGTACTATCTTAGAGAAGCGGCATACAACTACAAGTATACTGTTATACTCTCGCCCTTCTAGAGTGCTTAGAGGCAACTTAGTAATAAAGTCTATAGCGATGTCCTTCTAGATGTTAGCTAGTATAGGTAGTAACTATAGTTCTCTGTGCCTAGCATACCTAGTAGGTTTTATTCTCGCGCAGGTTATGCAGAACTAACAGTAGTTCTTAACTATCTATTAGACCTCTAGCTACTAGAATTCTCTTAACACAAGATCTAGAGTTTAGGCAAACCTAAAGTAACCCGCTAAGAGGTTATTGTAGCAAGCTTACAGAACCTTAACGCAGGCTACTTCTAGAATATAAAGTCTTCCCTTATAAAGAAGCGTGTTATCTAATTCTATACTCTATTAGTCTGCCTACTACAGTTAAGTGTTAACTAACATTAATAGTGCCTCTCTAGCGAGGTCTGCGTGCTTATCGCTAAGTATGCCCTCTCTAATAGCGTCGCGTACAGAGTGTAGTAGCCTAGTCTAGTTAGTAGGTAATATTAGTTAACCTAGGGCAACAGCTCTAGTCGTGCCTACAACTACCCTAATCTAGAGTTCTCTTGCCCCTTCTAGAGTAACCGCGCGCTCTTTAGAGCTGTCTGCGTTAGTTAACTATAGCTTACACTAAAGCTCTACTAGTAACCTCTTGTCGCTACTAGCTAAACCCGCCGCGTTCTCGCCTAACTTATAATCTAGGCGTCTAGACAGTCTATTAGCAGAGTTAGTCTACCTAGAGCAGTAGACTATAGTAAAGTAAAAGGCGGCTAGCTATTCCGCCTATCTAGCCTGCCTACGTAATAGTACCTTAGTAGATATAAACTCTTGTAGGTTATAGTAGTCTATATAAAGAGTAATGTTATAGGCTACACTCTTAAGATAATACCTCTAGTGTTTAAAGGCCTCTACTACTACAAGGAGTTCTCTGTCATGCATGTTGTAATTACGCTTAGCAGAGGTTATCTTACGCAAATAGTACGCGATTAGATACTACAGATCCTTACTATTAGGTCCTAGTCTAGACTAGTTTAGAATCCTAGAGATCGCGAAGCCTAAGGCGTTAGTTTCTACCTTGCAGAGTAGGCTAGAGTTAAAATAGACTAGAACAAGGCCTATAGCGAATCTTTCTTTAAGAATCTTAAAAGCCTTAACAGCGTTAGGATCTAGCTTAATTAGGCGCGATTCTTCTTGTTGTTACTAGTAGCCGCCCTTGCTCGCCTTAGACAGCCTTTAGATAATCTAGTAGAGGAGAGTAGCTATCCTAGAGAACTCTTCTACAAAGCGCTAGTAGTAGTTAGCGAAGCCTAGAAAGATCTAGACGTCTCTAACTAAGGCTAGTGTAGGCTAGAATTAAATAGTGTCAACGTAGTTAGTCTTTATCTCTACTCCCTGTAGAGTAACTACAAAGCCTAAGTAGCCTACTCTCTAGGTGTAGAAGTTGTACTTAGAGAGTTTAGCGTATAGCCTGTACTAGATAAGTCTAGACAGCACCTCCTAGACCTAGCTAACGTGTTCCTCTTTGTTCTAGAAGTAGATAAGAATGTTATTAAGGTATACAATGCAGCAGATATCTAGTAGGTCTAACAGAATTAAGTTAATATAATTCTAGAACACTGCAGAGGCATTAGTAAGGCTAAATAGCATTACAGTGTATTTAAAATAGCTATACCTAGTGCAGAAGGCTGTCTTCTACTTGTCTCTGTTCTTAATGCGGATGCAATAGTAAGCATCCTGTAGGTCTAGTTTAGTGTAGATTAATACAGATCTAAGTTAATTAAGAGACTCTTCTATAAGTAGTAGCAGGTAGCAGTTCTTTATAGTAATCGCGTTAAGGCTGCAGTAGTCTACACACAACTAGAGAGAGCCGTCCTTCTTCTTTACAAATAGAATTAGCGCCCCTACCTTAAAGGTAGAGCGCCTAATCTATCCCCTAGCAAGGTTCTTATTAATATATTTGCGCAGTATCTCTACCTCTATCACTAATAGGCTGTATAGTAGTCTATAAGGTAGGTTCTTCCTCTTCTCTAGGTTAATTGCTATCTCGTGTAGCCTATGTTTAGCTAGAATAGCAGCGTCTTCTTTAGAAAAGGCCTTTGCCTAGAAGCTGTAGTACTAATAGAGTAGAGTACTATTGTCTAGGCCAGCCTAGCCCGCTGCTAGTAGAAAGCCGTTATTATTCTTATTAAGAAGTATAGCTATAAATCGTTCAGAGGTCTCTAGAGCGATCTTGCGGTATCTAGCCCGCTTCGCAAATCTTATAGATTTTAAGACAAAGTTTAGAGTAGATCGCTATTACTCTAGCTATAGCATACCTAGAATTATGTTAAATCCTTCAAGGTCTCCTAGATAGAACTCTCTCTACCCTTCTTAGGTAGTACTATAGCTATTAGTTATAGTGTACTTAACGTCTACCTAGCCTAATACAGCTAGTTCTTAGCTATTAAGACTGTAGAACTAGGTTGTACTGTCTTAGTATAGTACGTATCTAGCTTTGCCAGCTATAGCTTAACTAATAAAGTTAGCCTTAGCGCTGCTGTTAAGAAGCGCCTAGATATAGATAGGCCTAGATTTAGCTAGAACAGTGCCTTCTACAGCAATTAGAGACAAGCCTACTACCTCTAGCCTAGTCTTGCGCTTGCTGCTTGCAGCAGCGATAAGACTCTTAAAGTATGTAACAAGTCTCTTAGGCTATAGAGTTAGGTAGCCTAAGAGTGCGCTTTTCCCTCCTAGGTGCTAGTAGAGTTAGAATACTCTCTCTTGTAGTGCTCTTTGCAGTAGCAGTTATAGCATTTAACCTAACTAATGTTCTTCGTGCTTATTTAGGCTACTAGAGTAGTTACAGGTTCTCTCTTAAGAGAAGCGCGTAGTCTTACCTCTTAGCTAGGTAGGCTACGTTAGTTAGCGTTATACTGTGTTCGCTTAAAGAGTAACTAGTCTCTTCTAGTGTTGTCTGTACCTATCTAGGCCTGTCTAACCTAAAGTGCAGATTCTAGAGCTCTGTGCTACTAGTTAGCCTTAGCCTCTAGTGCTACAAGGCTATACTATTTCTACTTAATATTGTCTAGTTATTCGCGTATCTTTAGGTCAAGAGCAGAGTAGAAGTTGTAGATATAATCCTTGTTAGTATTATTAAGAGCAGCTTAGGCGTTAAGCTTCTTCTATTATATCTTAAGGTAGTTAAGAAGCTTAGTAGAGGTGTAATAACGCTGTCTCGCGTTCTTAATCTTCTTCTTAGCTATCTACTTACGTTTAAAGAGGGAGCTAAGAGACTCTAGCATAGCCGACTTTAGAGTAGCCTAGGTTAGAACTAGCGCTCCTAGGTTAGCCGCGACAGCTCTAGCTATTCTTTCCTAATAGTTAAGTTAGTAGTCCCTAAGCTATCTAATCGCGAAGTTAACTTACGCAGTTAGGTTAGTTAAGGCAGAGTTGCCCTTAAAGAAGCGTTCGCAAGCTCTAGCCTAGCTATTAAGTTGTGCTTTATCCTTACCTTTAAAACGCGTTAGAGAGTTAGATTTTAGAAGTAAGATCTTAAAAGGTCTAGTCTAGTGTAGAGTGCTCTTAGCGGGCGCAGCTAGAGCTAGTGTTAGTATAGGTAGTAGTAGAGTCTAGAGGTTACCTCTAGCGAGTGCAGCCTTAAGAGCCTTATGTTAGACGCGTAGAGCAGCAATCTTTACACGCTGTTTAGCTTCTAATAGAAGCTATTCTTCTTATTTAAGTTCTTGCTAGAGAGTTAACAGCGTTAGTTTGTTAACAGATATTCTCTTCTTAACTAGTAGTGTTCCTGCAGTAGGTGTTAGAGCTCGTAATTTCTCTTTAGTAGCAGTTAGAGCTAATAGAGTATCAGCTAGCCTAGACTAGGCCTAGAAAGCCGCGTTTTCTGCCGCGCTGCGTAATTGTAACAAAACTATATTTATAGTATCGCTAATAGTTGTAGGTAGAGGTTTGTATTATAAAAGTAGAATAGGTTAACACAAGATTATATAAACGCAAACCTCTACTAAGTAATCTAGGTAGAGCTGTTGCTTATAAGAGGTTTCTCTAGGTTTCTACGCTAGCAGAGCCTGCGCTCGCGTAGGCTAGCGTAGTCTAGAGAGGTCTAGAGGGATCTAGAGCAGTCTACAACCAAGCGGTCGTAACAACTAGGTCTACTAGAGAAGAAGTTCTATCTTAGGTAGATAACTACTATACTTTACTAAGTAACGTTACTAAAGAAGACTTTATTAATAACCTTTCTACTAAAAAGTAGATTAACTTACTAGTAGAAGAGCTTAAAGAGAATATTAAAGAAGATTAGATTATTAATAATATTACTAGATTTCTACTTAATAACTACGCTCTTACTACTACAAATAATAAAGTAAATAACTCTAATAATAATCTATTTAACTAATCTTAAAGTACTCTATTCTAGTAATATAATATATATATACGCTTTATAAGGCTATAGTTTTAAATTATAGATATTATTCTTATACTACTTCTACACTAATAACAACGTAAATATCTAGTAAGCTACTTCTTATTACTTATAGGTTTAGTATCTAATAGCTATCTTAGCTTTCTAATAAAAAGTCTTTATTATATATTTCTTATCTTAATACTACCTATACACTTATATTATTATAAGTATCTAGTAAAGTAATTAATCTTATTAAAGTAGTTAGCTTTAACTTATTACTTTTCTAGTTTTTAGAACTTTTATATAATTCTTTATTTACTAAAAAGTTTTTTTACGCTAGCCTATTTTTTGCAATAGTTTCTCTATAGAATAGTTATACCTCTAGATTTTTTTTCTAGTATACTAATCTTTATAATAGACTATATATTTCTATTTTATTATTTCTTCTTATGTAAAAAGTATAATTACTAATACCTCTATATTAGTTTAATAGTATTATATAGCTACTAGCTTTACATGCTAGAAAAGACCTCTTTACCTTAGCTTAACTTTAGCTACTATAAGTAGTTTATTTTTTATGTTATAGATAGAGAAGATATAATATAGGTCTTACTTATTTTATTTTATATTTAGTTTATTTATATACGCTACTCTAGTAAAGAAGTTTTTTATATAGCTTTTACTTTATATACTAGATTACTAGGTCTTTATAGTCTTAAAGAGTTTAGTCTATAATACTCTTTTACTAGGTAAGAAAGCTATTACGTAATTACCTTATAAGTATATAGGCTCTTCTTTCTTAGTAGTTAGTACCTTAGCTTTTACAATAACAATTTAATACACTATATACCTCGCAGTAATGGTCGCGCAACGAGTGTTTGCTGTGCACAAGCAGTGCGCGTGCACAGACAGCTACCATCACGACCGTCATCTGCAGCATTGCGGCGCAGTACACGTTCTCCACCACCATCGCTGTTCATCGCAGCAGAAAAATTTTGGGCATGGTGTAGGTGCCCTGGGATCGGCGTTGCGCAAGGCGCAAGGCGCAAAGCGCACAAGCCACCGTTGGCCGCCCCACTTGATGGGTGGCGATGCCATCGTCATTGCTACCAACGGTGGCTCGACTACACCTACGACATGCTCCAGGACCTTACGAGAATGCCTCCGGCTTTCTAGAAACATTCCTCCAACTCCAACAAGTTTATGTCTATCATCAATCACGAGATGTCGTGAGAGCCACTACCGCCGTATGAAGCCGTCTTTTACGCGTCGGACGACGCGACTGTGAACGCGCTCCGATGCGCAGGCTATCCATCAATCCTGGAACCTGCACACAGCGTTATCGCAAGAATTCATCGCCAACGTGACGAACTGACGCTTTGTAGTAAGTAGACAACCGGCGACAAAGTTTCTTGAAGCTTCGTCTTGACGTTGCGGGTCCTGAGCTAATGCCAGTGTGGCAGCAGTCCTAGACACACATCGAACGCCCGATTGCACGCGAAGCAGACGAACAACGACTACGAGTGCGCGCAAAGTCCAGATCTGGCCCACATCCGATACCTCCGCAACGCCGGTTGACCCGATCAGAATCGTCTCCGATTCTCTCCCAATTCCCCCGGCAGTGAAGTGGAAGGCACACAATTCTTGACCACAACTACGGGGTATCCGCCGTTGTATTCACTGAAATGTAGAAGCTATCAAATGCCTATCTCCATTGGTTTACTGAGGGAGTGAAGGCTCGCAGACAGACGTACTTTTGGCAAGTCGGTGGGAGTTTCAGAACTTCGGACCCAGCCGGCTCGTCGCAAAGTAGAAGGCTCGCGAGATGCGCCATAGCAATGGCACAGGTGGAGGGCAAAGTTTCCGTCGTACTGGGACGTGTGCAGCCGGAGATACCGATACTCGGTGGTGCCGGCGTGCCAGCGCAGTCTGTGTTTCATGCGTCTGCTTGCGTTGATGGTATGATGAGCTCAGGAACAAAAGGCGCGCAGCAAGTGATAGCATGGTATATACGATACAGTAAAGCGCTGTCGTGATGATGTTACATGGCTTTGGTACAGACCGCGACGTTATCGAGGCGCTCACATCCTTTGCGGCGCAGCCTCATTGGACAGCAGTGCCGATATGCTGCATCTCTGCGCTGACGCGGTGGCGCGCCGGGCATAAGCTAGCACTCCAGCCTGGTATCAGTGTTACCAACTTTACGACTCTCGCCGTTGCTTCCAAAAGCCACTCTTCACTCTGTCTCTAATATCGAGTTGCTCTCCGTGAACGTACTTATCGTCTTCTTTCGACACGTACTCGACGCCGCCTGTCTCTTCGTCATTCTGGTATGCGTGTTCATATCTCAGCCTTGGTCAGATCTCCACGAGTCATTAGAAGCCTGGTCGAATTAGGGTCATACGGAGCATACAGAGAGACTGACAAGGATCAGCAGGTGTTGCAAAGAATAGTCTCATAGACGTCGCACCTAGAAGTTGAACCGAAGAAGGAAAACTCCATCAGTGATGGATCCGTATGAATTGTCTTGGAAATGGAGCGACCGACATCAAGATCATTATCGTATCGATCCAAACGACGGATCAACAGTTTGGCAACGACATTGGTGGTGGTCACACACCGCAGACGAGTCAGGATCGTCAAAGATCCACCGCGAGCCCGTAGAGGAAGGCGGACCTGAGAGCAATATTCAACTAACCCCTTCCACTAAGATCAGCAGCGACGAGAATCCACCATGGAGCGGCTATTCAATGACGCAGCTTGCGCATGGATTTCCGCATGGGACACCCCATAGCGCGTGGATCCCTCCGCCACCTCATGTTCCTCCCACTATACATAATCAGGTGCATCCTTTCAACGATCAGGCGCAGCCTTTGGGGAGTATTCATCGGCCTCTCCACAGTCCGTCGCAGTCTTGGTGGGGTTTTCATCAGCATTTTCGCAACCAGCCGCAGCCTCTCCACGGTCCGACTGGAGTCAAAGGTGCATCCAATGAGAACGACAAACATGCGCGAGAATGGATGGGACCATCGTACCCTGCCATTTCAGTACCAAGGGCTTCGGGATTGGAAAGTCATCTTTCTGATCACCCTCCACGTAATGTTCAATCCCTTGACGCTTCCAACAATCTTGGGCACGTCTATGCCGGCACACTCCAATCTCCGTCATCTATGGCTCATGAAGAAGACGTAAGGCTGTCTCGCGAACGACTCATGGGAATCCAAAGACCTCGGTCAGCTCGGAAAGCTAAAGAGGCCATAGTTGAATCAAGCCGTGGACTGGACAACAGTCCAGATATCATTCGTGCTTCCCACAAAGCCCAACTATCTGATTACATGTCTTTGGAAACATCGTCATCCCAAAATTGGCTAGATATACAGTCCCGGCTTCCTGACGACTGGAAGTGGGATATCGAATACCATGTCACGTATACCAGATACGGTAGTCAGAGTGGGTGTTGGACTTGTACTCCTATGGAACCAGATAAGCCGAAACAATATCCTCTTGCCATTGCAAATGCGCCCGTGGTACTTCCAGTGGAGTATCATTGGCCTCCCATCAGCGGAGTGACACCACCTCCAGATCCGCGACCTGCGGCACTAATTGATTGCCGAGGCGAACTATCACTGAACCTTGTCAAAGACATTTTTCTTACGTTCCAGGGCAGCGTTGGATTCTATGTTCTGATAAACGGTCTACTCCAGATCATGGTACCAGAAGACTTCGACACAACCTGGGCGTCATCACATCTTCCGCATAAATATGGCGGTCTCAAGGTCTGTTACATCGAACAGGTCATCGAGCCTACCATGTTACCAACGAGGACAGAGACTACCGGAAGGACATTTGACAGATCATCACTCGTACCCCTAGGCACACCAGGCTCATCCCCGGCCGCACGCTTGTCAGCTCAATCTCTCGCAAACAGACCGTCGCTAAAGCTCAACGACTTCGTAGAAGCCCGCCCGAAGTCTAACCACCGAAACGAGAAATTTTCTGGACGCGTGGCGCTCAAAGTGAGCCGAACTGGCATCCCACTCATATTGATGTCCACCCACGTCATCACTGAAGCGATCCTTGCAAAGTCGCATCGCGACAGTATACTTGGCCGGAAACATGATGAACGAGTTCAGAAACTAAAAGATGATTGGAACGAGCATGTTGAAATCTGGGCTGGTGGTGGAAATGTTAGTATACTGAGCACGCCGATGATACTCGTACAGCACGGCTGTATCATCGTGCACTACTGTCGATGCGCTTTCATGCTAACATCCATTAGTGCGGAACGATCCACCAAAGCTTTGACCAGGAAGCGAGAATTTATCCGAACGGCTTCAACCACGACATCACTCTCATCAAACCCGCGCATCGGACTTTGGTGAAAGATGTCGCGTCCCCTGTCAGCGGTATCGGTTGGCTCAACCACGATTCGTGGATTTCGCTCCGCCAGCAGACGACAACAATCAAGATCTTAGCTGATGCCGAAAGCTCAGAGTCCGCGGGAGGCTCACAGGCAGCGAAAAGCATCAAATGCAGTCGTCCATCAGACATCCTTGTGGTAGGCGAAGGCATCTTCCTGAACCAGAAAGCTGCAGCGGGCAATTCGAAGAGTCTCAAACACCACGATGCGGCAACATGGAAGGATCTCGTGTCACGCGCAATCCTGTACCGTGTCTATCCTGATTTCGACCCACCGAACGGCCATAGCGGCACTGCGCTTTATGCGGATGGAACGAGGACCGATGGAACTGAAGGCCCAGGTGTCGTAGGCTTCCAAAGCTTTGTACAGCGCAGTGGTCACGTGCAGAATTTCGAGATGGAAGGTGATGCACTGGAGCGGCGATTGAGAGCTGGCAGAGTTGCGTTCTATGGAGCGTTCGAAGTCCCCGCCGAACTCAAGAAGTACCATATATACTGATCGTAACCGTTTGTCCGATTTTCCGAAGTTATACTGTCGTTGAAAGATCATGTTGCCAGCGCACCAATCGAAACTTGGCTTTCATCGTGGTCCAAAACTCCCACAGTCTCTGCCTCTCATCCCACTGATAGATAGCAAAAGTCGCAAGCCCAACAGACACGGTGACGACTACCCAGATCCATATATTCAACTGCTCCAGTTCCACAAAGTTCATGCCAAATATCGAAGTACAGTACGAAAGTGGGAGGAAGATGGTCGCAAGTATAGTGAGCTTCGTGACCTGGGTGGCTAGCGTGATCTGTTTCTGCGATTCTGCAAGTGAAGTGGCACTGACTAGGATCGATATCGCTTCCTGGTAGTGCAACGACAGCTGGCGGCATCGCGATCGGAGGAACTCGTAGTCAGCCTTGACTGCATCTTTGGCTTCCTGAGCTACATTGCTCTGGTCTTGTGTGAGATTGACCGCCCATCGAGCCAATTTTGGCGAGCTGATGAATCGGAGAACTTCTTCATGTCGGCTCGCGTGGTCATCCAGGAGGTGTTTGTGCATTATGAGTTGTTCTAGATGCTCCGTTGAGTACTTCCGATCCCATTTCGTCGACGCGATTATGTCGTACCATTTTTGAAGTGTTGATAGCAGCTGGATCTCCGAGGCAGCTGCAAACAGGAGTATAGGTGCAAGCGCGTAAAGCGGATCTTGCCCGGCAATTGCGTGATCATCAAGCATTACGTGGAGCTCTGATGGCAGATGGGACGCTGTCTGGAAGAGCGAGCCATCGGTGTCTTGCGCGATATCGAGATCGGGGAAGGGCAGCGGCCATGAGTGTTTGATCGTCGACTCCTGTCCCAGCAAATGTACAGGTAATAAGCGGATGTCTCGGCGTCCTGTCTCTGTCTTGGCCGCCATATACTCGACGAAATGATGGTAAGTGCGGCTATGAGAGAGATTTCTGCTTCCGACATCTGTCCACAAGATTGCTGATACACATGGTAAGCGGTGACGAAACGAAATCAAGGTTTGACAGGTCGCTCACCAGTCCAGCCGTCTCCATTTGACTCAACGGTGATGGACACATCTTGCTCGATGACAAATTGAAGGTTGCTAAGATATGCATGGCCTCTTACATACGAACAGCCAGGAGCTGCGGCCAAACGTCTGGGCATCCATTCAACGTCGTCGGGTAGAAGCCTTCGTCGCGCTTGCAAGATCAAGCTACTGAATGAGTCTACAGGCAGCTTGTTCTTGCCAAAGTTTCCCTGGGTGTTAAGACGCAGTAGGAGCCCTTTGTTCGAAGTGGCGTATGGGCTTCTCGTGATTGCGTGAAGAACAGGCCCGTCAGTCGAGCGCCAAAGATGGATATGCTGCCGAAAGAACTCGGGAGCGATCTTGTATTTCGCGCCCACTTCACATATCCAAGACCCTGGAAGATGTCCATTGAGGAAAAGGACCTGTCCTTGCCCTTTGCTCGGAGGCGGAGCTGCGACTAGGTCCTGTAACTGAGAATATTTGTAACTATGACGTTGATACTGCTCAGAGCCATGACAAGGCGGCCCATACACAGACAAATGGCCAAGATGATACGCTTCAAGGTCACTGTATTGCTTGGGTAGATGTGCCTCATCAGCTCGGAGCAGCTCAGCGAGAAATCTGTAATGATAGCCAAAGAAAAGCGTGCGAGTATATGAACGTGCAGCGTAGTTGAGTATATGCTGGCGATAGCCTTGGGCTTCAGGCGATAGCTGCATCTTGCTCGTGTGGCTGGAAGATGCGACACAAGTTATGGGCGGTAAAGGATCGGGGAAGAAGGCATCGTAGCAAGTAAGCTCCATCCATGTCAAGAAGTACCTTTAGAACACAGGGAGTCAGATCCGGTTTTCGCAACAGCATCAAAGGCTGGAGACAAGCCAGCTGCACAATCATGGTGTTCTCCGTCGCGACCAGTCAGGCAGGCGCGTAAGCGAACGCGCACCATGGATCTTCGCAATACCTGCGGGTGGGGGCTAGCCGCCCGTGATACGAGGCTGAATGCTTCCGATGTCGTTCATCAGCGGAACGACCCCACGACTTGTGCGACGCCAAGCAAAACCTGAACAGCGGTCATGAAGACCACGATCGTAGCGAACCTGATGTTGTCAGTTTTATGAATGCAACAGTGTTGAGTATCTCACAAGAACGTCCAGAATTGCAAGGTATCGTTGCGGTTACGGAACAAGACCCAAATGCTCCATGGCTTCGCCTGCTGCAGATGCTCATCTAGGATCATGATTCGAGACCAGAGATGAGGGAATATGCCCGGTGTCCATGCGATCGGCTGCTGATTTATGGCGCTCATGAGGTGAGGAAGCTTAGGGTCGTATTCGCTGCTACGTTGAAGTCGACTAAAGGCTTGGTAATCGCTGATCGCGCGATTGCGGTATCGTCGAGCAGAACATGGCTGACATGGGCAACATCGCCGCTGTATATAGGTATACCAAGTCAGTGTATGCTCCATATGCAGTTCGTAGAGAAACACGTACCCATAAACCAAGCTTAGCATGAGGACCCAATGAGGGCCAGGCGTTGAATAGCAAGCTGTATGACTCCATGACCTCTTGCGCCAGCTCATTACCGACACCGACCATCCTAAGAGGAGCGGCATCTAACGCGCATGGTAGCGCAAAGATCTCAAGTATGCGACGTCCGTTGCGGTTCGATAGCAGGAGGTGCCGGGACATGTTATGAGTCCAGGTGATTTCCACTGCTCCGAACACAGTCAACCTGTACGCGTTGAGGTGGGTGGCGTCAACAAAGAGCGACTCCAAGGACTCTAAATCTGCCATGGTCACCACAGAGGCGAATGCAACAGGCGCTGGTAGCAAGCCGCTGCCCGCTACCAATTCTGCCAAGCTCTCGAAGTATGGCTGGCCACCCAGCAGGCTTCCGTGCAAGCGCAGATTGTAGCTTGCCGTCACCATTCGGAGCTTACCGGCTACTGTTGGTAGATCGGTAAACGAGCTCAGTAACAGTGTGCAGCTGCCAATAGCGCGCACTACCGTGTCCTCTTCGTGCCATTGTGTGTTCGGGTGGTTGGATAGCGAGTGTAGCAGCCCTTCAATGCTCCTCTTCATTGACCCAAGGGGCTGAGGGCCATGGAAGTATTGTACTATGGTTATGAGAAGATCTTCGTATTCTGGAGTACCACGAGCATCGTGCTGGTTCAGAAGGTAGTTGATGTACGGTTCGACGGTGTCATCGTTGGGGTAATTCGGGAAGCCCAACGCGTGCGCGAGACGTATTCGGAGGGGATCAGGTGGGGGAGGCCCTAGAAACATGCCCATTGTGTATATTGGGCAACCCGTAAGCCTCAATTACTATGGCAGAGTGAAGGCAATAGATCGCTGAATGCGCAAAGAGAAGGGTTTCCATGTGGAGGCTGGCAGGCTGTCCATGAGGCTGTGCATCGCAAGGGGATAGCCCATCAGGATGGTATTGCCCCTTTTGACCAGGCGGAGGCTGAGTTTTGGCTGACATGATCATGCATGTGTGCCGGCGCGTAGCGATGGATGCGTTGTGGCAGCGAAGGACCTCGGGAGGAGAGGGCGTCACGGGCTGCACGCGTCGCTTATCGATAAGACACCTCGCGCTTAGGCAACCTGCGTCACAATCTCGCCTGCGCCCAACCACAGACATGACGAACTCACCGACGCGTGTTTCCGAGATTATGTCACACACACATGAATTGAGAATTATCCTGTGCACAAACTGGTGCAGTTATCGATATGTAATATACGCGCTGAGTCTACAGCTATCCATTTGCTAACCAACCAACAGGGACGCCGGCAGCAGTAGGCGCAATGGCAAGCCAGCATCCTGCGAACCATGCCGGCTGAACAAAACCAAGTGTGATCATGGCCATCCAAAGTGTGATCGATGTCGTCAACGTGGTATTGAAGACCGCTGCTTCTACCACCCAGCACCTCTCACCAGACAGCGTCAGAGTGCCGATGAGTCAGGAACAGGTGAAGCCCGTCCTCCTAAAAGAAAGTATGCACACATTTGGAACTACATTCACATCAGTATTTTGACTCGAACAGACGACCCTCGAAGCAGGCTTCGGATGCTGTTGCCGCTTTTGCCCCAGCGTCTCCGTCGCATGGTGACAAGCTTGCGGATGCCGTAGCTGCTGATGTATATCACCCTGGGTTTCTCGGGCCTGGATCGTACGCCGTACTTCTTCCTCAGGATGAAGAACCCGGTCAGATGCGTGAACGCGAGGAGTCTGTTACATCAGAACGATCAGATCGCGAACTTACACACCAGCACACCCTGTCCAAGTCCATGCGATACCAGATGGCTTGTGATGTTTTGAGCACTCTTCGCCATTACAACGCTATCAAAGAGCTCGTTCTATGGTATAATGCAACAAATGAAGCAGGTGTGATACCTGCCCAGGTTCAGGTCGACGCCGTGAATGCGTTAGAAGCTGTTGTTGACAAGCATGACCTTCGGCGGAAGAAACCCAGTTCTCTGCTGATAAGCCAAGTACTCGAGACGACTGCACGCCCTTTCACAGTATCACAGTCAATGGAGGCACACGACTTTCACATCTTGTGTTCCGGTGATAATTTACGATTCGAAACTATCGGCTTTCTCCTCGCGACGGCCGGGCGATCGCTAACGTTTGGCTTCGTTCCGGATATCTTCAGTGATCCTGCCAACAAGGACATGAAGTTACACTTTGCCGATGAGCTACTTCGCGCGAGTACGACCTGTCTTTTTCTCACGACGATGCTTGCGACAGTCAACGACATAACGATCTGGATGTATTACGAAAACTATCTATTTACAATCATGATCTGCGGCTACCAAGGCCCACCCAGCTGGCGACGGATAGGCGAACTGTCGACACAGATATATGCACTGGGTATACATCAAGAGAAGAAGTGCGCTCATGCTCCGAAATGGTTGACGGAAACACGCCGTAGGGTTTTCTGTTCAGCATACAACCAGGACAAGTCGATATCCACCTTCCTTGGCCGTCCGATACGTATCAGCAAGAGACACACTGACATCGAGCTTCCACTCGACCTGGCCGATAATGAAGTCACCGGTGACCAGGCGACCTTGGAATCTGCCATCGCAGCGTTGGACGAGGACGGTTGGAATACCAAAGGCAGATGGTTGAGAGCGTCTTGGATCGTAAGTCTTGCACCTAGGCTAGTTTCGTTCCCTCAGCTAACGTACATTAGCGTTTACGTCATATATCCCTGCGAAGTCGCGAAGAAATCCTGGAATTCTCGCTCGTCAAGATAGACGCAAACGCGGAAGCTCAGCTACTGTACGCATGCTATGATGACCCGACTTTGACTTCTACTAACAAGTCTGTAGAGATATATCCGAGCGTGTACGCACTTCCTGGGAGACGCTACCCAAACATATGCGATACTGGAAGACCTGTTGGGAAGACGATGTTCCCACGGTAATCTGTCTGATGCTGTCCATCATACACCTCACGCATTGGTACAACGAGTTCATGATCCAAAAGCTGCTCGATTACAGCCCATTGACGCTCAACACTGCCCTACTGCGCGTCTCTGTTGATCTTCTTTGCAATACACTTACCTTGGGTAGAATACGCGATCGATCTTACGATGTTCAACGCGACATGCTCAACGCCCTACTGCTGTTTGGTGTACCCGCAGCGTCGGTACTTGCTACAGCATTGCGCGAGCAACATCGAACAGGCCAGCAATTCCCCGCTGAAATATCCCGCGCTGAGATCATTCGCATGCTCAGCGTGCTCATATCACATCTTGATTCGGCCGCACACATGGAAAACTCTGGAGCTAGACACGGCGAAGCCAACTACAACCTCTTTCGCAAGGCGAGCAAGATCTTCACCAAGGTCATTGATACAGTCTTGGACACCCGGCCCGTGGAGGAGATTACCCCAGCGAGTGCTCAGCTTGGACTTGACCTGGATCTGGACATTTTCTCCGGCGCTGGGTTGGATGGTTTTGAAGGAGGCATGGAATTCCCTGGCATGGGAATGTCACTTGGCATGAACGGGAATGGAAATGGAAATTTCAGTGATGCTGCGGATGATTGGGGTGCTCTCGGTCAGTGGAACGCCTTTGGTGGGCCTGTATAAAGCCCTGTCACCACTGGCTATGCGCCCTGCAGGAGACCTCGCATATATATGCATCTCGCAAGTTGATACGGAAACTGTGGACATGTCGGACATTTGGTTTTAGAGTACATTTGGCCTTGCGCCAGCACATATAACTGTTGATATACTAATTATAATCTAGTACAATACTGACAACCTTCTTAAGGCGTCATTTATACAAAAGAGAACGCTTCCCTCCATCTCCCATCGGAGCATTGCTTTCCTCTTACGCCTCCAATGCGGCCGTCCTCTTGATGTTTGTGTACCGGAACCCAAAAGCAGCAAGGAACGCGGCACCACCGAACGCGATACCTACAATAAGGCACTCACGGAATCCAGCGACGTAGGCCTCAAGCACTCCCTCGAGGAACTGCGATGGAATCAGAGTCTTGAGCTCGGAAGCACCGGCATCCAGGACGATGTGGGGGTCAAGACCTGGCGCTGTGATGGGCAGCTGCTTGAGAAGCGTGTTCTGGAACGCAGCTTGGGCAGACGAGACTCCAAAAGCGCCACCGAGGGTTTGGATGACTGCAGCGCTCGTCAGTAATGCGTCGAGGAAGCAACGAGAAAGAATGTGGCTTACAAAGAAGTGTGGCTGTGGCCAAAGGCACATCGACTTCCTTAGTAGTCGCCTGAATAAGCATGACAGGGACTTGGAAGCTCACACCGATACCGATACCGCAGAGGATCTGGTATCCAATCCAGACTTTGGCGGGTGAATCGACATCGAAGGTGTAGATCATACTGGCACCGATGGTTGTGATGGCCGCTCCTCCAATCATCCACGGATATGCGTAGCCGGTCTTCGTGATGATCTGGCCAACGATCACGACGCAGATGGCTGGAGATATTATAAGCATTTGAAGGAGAGAATGGGCGTTGGTGGTCTACTTACTGACTGCGAGGATGAAGGGTACAGTGCGAACACCACTTGACGCTGCTGAGACACCCTGGACGGATTCTGGCGACGGTTAGTCATTGTTGGCGTAACGGCCAGCTCAGTGAACTTACGGAAGTAAATCGGCAAGTAGTAGAACGTGACCAAGAAGGCAGAATTGATCAGGAATGAGAACATCGAACCGACCCAGATAGTTCTTCTCTGGATGATGAGGCTGTGAACCATGGCGTTCTCACTCAGCCACCACTGATCGACCACGAACAGAGTCATCAACACGACGAAGGCCACCAGGGTGCCAATCACAGCACCACTGTTCCATGCCTTCGAGATACCTCCCCATTGAAGCGCGAGGATGAAGCAAACAATTGCACCGATTATGAGGATCAGACCAGGCACATCGAGTGTGCGAAGCATGCCACGCCAGTCAGGACGAGACTTCGGCGGTTCATTTGCGAAGAACAAGAGGATGAAGAGGCATGATACACCGCCAACGGGAAGGTTGATGTAGAAGCTATAAGGCTGTTAGTGAGAGCCTCAGGGCTTCTGCGATAAGATGCAACGTACCACCAGCGCCATGAGACATGGCTTGTAAAAGCACCACCGATCAACGGGCCGACGACACTGGCGAGACCATATGCTGCGCCCATCAAACCGCTGTACTTGGGTCGATCTGCTGAGGGTACCAGAACGGCAATAATGGTATACGAGCCGGAGAATAGTCCAGCTGCACCAACACCGCATATCGCTCGACCGATGATCAAAGCCACGGAGCTGGGTGCGGCACCTATCAACGTAAAACATTAGCATAGTGTTGATATCAAAGGAGGAAAAAGCTCATGTTCAGAACTACCAGAGGATATGAACTTACCGCAGATCACACTACCCAACTCGAAGAAGAAGATGGAGATGAGGTACGTCCACTTCAACGGGAAGAAAGTGTACAGTCGGCCCCAGAAGGCCGTAGTCGCAGCCGTGGTGATGAAGAAAGCTGAGCCATACCAGCCGATATCCTGGAGACTTTTGAACTCATCGGTGATCTTGGGGATGGCTGTTGATATGATGGTCTGCGCTTTCGGTTAGGCCTTGGCTGGAAAGGGTCGAAGAAGAGAGACTTGTTGCTCGTACTTACAAAGTCTAGGGAAGCCTGCAGCGATGAGTTAGTTGACGTTTCTGGTATTGATGGGTCAAGACGTTGCTTACGAGGAAAATAGCTAAGACCAGTCCTACAAGTACAAGTACGAATCGTCCTTTCGTCAACTGGATATGCGCTAGCTCTTCTTTCTCCTCCCCTGTATTGAGCGACCCTTCGGTGGAATGGAGGTCTTTCTCCTCGTCTGAGCGTCTAAGAACGTCTTCCTTCATGTTTGCAAGATTAACGCAGATGGTATGAAGAAAAGAGAGACGACGGTGCTTGATGGTTGTACTACTGATGCTTCACGTCGCAGGTTATTAGCCAAATAGTAGTCTCAACGATGCCGCAGCATCATCGACTCCCTAAACGGCCCCAGTCCCGAAGTGCGAGGACGGACGAAAATCATCTTCATGCGAGGAGCCCGCTGGAGTGTTTGGTGTGTGTTGGGGAAGGACCTCCTTGGTCGCTTCCGTTCTTGCACGGAGTTCCGTTGGCGCTAGCGGACAAGCGTGACTTCCATCAACAAAGGCCTCGGTGTTTTGTCAGCGTCGCTCACATCAATGCTAGCTACTGCATCGGGGTCGCGCGTGTCTTTAGTCAGCTATGGCGATCGCATCGAAGTTTCGCGGACGTCCTGTTCATGTTGGCGGTGGATGGGGGCGCGTGCTTTGGACGCGACGCGCCGTGGCGTAACGCCAAATCCGCAACCAATGCACTTATAGGAAACGTCAACATGCTTAGGACGCTTTTGATGAACGTGAACATTAAGAAGGCAGTATACACGGATATTGGTGTGTTGATTCGACACTTGTAGTGGAGAGCTTATAGACATAACGGGTGGCCATGTGCCAACTTCATCAGCGTGATATCAAGAGAAGTCATGGAATGACTTGCTGGACGCTGTTCCATCCCTGGTGCCATGAGCGGGGTATACGCTGTTCCACGTCTTATTTTCCGTACGTGGGGAATACGGCGCATGCTTCCACGCAGTAGTATACACCTTTGGACTAAGTCGGAGTACGAAGAAAGAGGCTTTCGTGAAGCGCAGCCGTATTCGTGGGCAACGCGCACGATCCTTCACTAGACACCAGTACGACAAAATTAAGGGCCAATATTTGAAGGATAGACAAGATAGTATACTTGGTACGCAAGGAGCAAAACTACAGGGATACACTATAGCAAGAAGGCAAGGAGACGTAACAGCACGGTAGAGGGTCAGGGCGTGGTGTACGAAGCCACCAAGTTCTTCGGAAGAAGAGCTGTTCAGATAGCAAGATCAGGATGTTCCACCAAAGCCTCCTCATACATGGTCACAAGCTTCTTCTCTTTATGCGCATCTCTTGGTTTGATGTCGAAGACGAACACCTCCGGCCGAGTAATGAGCAAATCTGTCCAATCTTCTGTGTGAATTGGTATATCTGTTGTTATGTCAGCACAAGAACGAGGCGTCAAAAAGCGGGATACGTACCAATGCCAATTTTGTTCTTCTTCTTGGTGACATTGAATGCCCAGGCCAAAGAGCCCATGATTGTGACCAGTTGGTAGTCTACAATCTCCATACCCAAGCAATTGCGACGACCATAGCCGAAGACGTGGTGATTGATGACATTGGGGTACTTCGTCAGAGGCTCTTTGTAAGTAGGATATTTCGGGTTCAGATAGCGATCTGGGTTGAACTCTTCCGGATTGGGGTACAAGGATTCGTCACTCCGACGCGCCCACTCGGTAGCATGGATGAGCGCACCCTTCGGGATGAAATAGCCATCGTATTCATCATCTCTCTCAGCTTCGTGGGGAACCCCCGTAGGGACTGGCGGTCTCCAGCGGATCAGCTCTTTGCCGATCGCTCTCAGAACCGGAAGCTTCGGTGCGTCGGCCCATGTGGGTAGACGGTCGGGGCCGCAAACCTCATCGATCTCGTCTTGTAGTCGCTTCTGCCAATGGGGGTAATGGCACATAGCGAGGTAGTACGTCTGGATGGGCGAAGACATGGGTAGTGATGCTGTGATAGCAAGCATGCCTATCGCGAAAGCACCCTCCTTCTCGTCCGGGACGCCATCGGGGAACTTCAAGCGCTCCTTGTCCTTGAAGAAAGTGCGAGACCAGGAATGACCGGGAATACCAGCGTCCATCTTGGCCTTTACGGATTGCATGGCCCCGACCCAGAATTCCCTCTGGGCATCATGGCGCGCCTTCTCCTGCCAATACCAAGGGTTGATCAAGTTAGGTAACTTCTGAACGACTGGAAACCTGTTCGGTAGCTTCCCTGCTGGAGATATGGCAGCGAGAAGGCCAGCCGAGCTTCGGTTCAACCCACGACTTAGCTTGGGTTCTTCCCAGGCGAGGCGCGCGCTCACACGATGGGTGAACTCTTCGGCGAGATCGGGATAGTTGCGGTTGTCTTTCATCAGCGAAACCATCATCCGCGTGATCTCGAGGTGCGTGAAGCCGAACATGTCGTAATTGTAGGTCTCGGACAGGCATTGGTGAGCGAATTTACGGTGTCTTGTAAGTGCCGCTGCAGAAACAGTCAGCGACATTCAGAAATGATCCGATGAATACATACCATTGTTGTCTAAGAGAGGAAGATATTCTGCATCGGTTTTGGCGCCTGGGATGTTGGGTGTGGGCGCGCGATTGGAATAGTATGCTCCACGCCTTGCGAGAAGATCCTGACACACCTTCTCGCTGTTGACACGGATATGTTTCACACCGAAGAGAGTGAACTGGTAGATCGGACCATAGTCTTCGTGCTGTAATGATTTAATTACACTGTCAGAAGTCTCGATAGGGAGCGTACCCATTCAGCAAATTTCTTGTACACATCCTTGGAAGGGAACTTGTGGAAAGGACCGATCCATGGTAGACCTTTATAGCACTGTCAGCAAGCACCTTTTCTCCACACGATGGATACTGACCTTTGGGGCCCGGCAGCGGCTTGTACTTGGGCTTTTTCGGCCTGAACAGACGAACAACGGCTAGAAGAAAAGCACCTATGACACTGATGGCGATGCTGGGAACGAAGAGAGAAAGCATAGCTTGCGAGAGCGGTTGAACCTCCACGTCAATCATGATCGCTAGAGTCAACGAAAGACAGCTGAATGAAATGTCGAACTGACACCAACCTTGGGCCAGTCTACGGGGCTTTTAACTACAGTCCTCATGGTTTTCAGGCCAACTCTACTATCGCTCCAACTCCGGACTGGCATATCTTCAACACCATCACCCTCTCGGACCTGCCTCGGTGTCATGTCTCGCGAACGCCATCAGCATAATGTGGCTGGTTCGATACAGAACGCGCATGCATCATGCCGAAGCTCGACCCCTCCTGAGAACGGTACTGCAACCGCCGACTACCGACCACCGATCGGATGGCAGTGTGTAGGTGGAGAGCCGTATTACATCCAAAGGTCTATCGTGTTTCTGAGCTTTGTCTCACGTTCGGTGTGGCGGTGGGGTGGTAAGGGTCATGGTTCATCTTGCCAGTCCGGAGCTTGGGTGAAGGGGGCTGCCACGTGCGCTCCACGCTAACGGTCTTGGCAAACTCCAACCATCGCAGCCTGATGGTCTTCCACATCCCACCTGTTCACACCCATGACGACGCATCATGTCACAGCCTATGCAGCAACATTATAGGCCCCAATTTTGCGCTCGCCCAGCCACCCACTCGATCGAAACCCCTGCCGGCTACCAATAGTTCGCAGCGGGAGTCCGCTCGACAATAAGCTCTAAAACCGCCGAGCGCGAAACCAGCATTGACAACGCGATCTCGTTCCGTCGTCACGGACCTCCGCCGTACACTGGACTCAGCATCCACAAACGTTGATTCGCGTAGCGCGCATCTTCATGTCTCAATATAATTTGGCAGCGGCGGGATGGGCAAAGCAGATGGCAGCTGTGTTGCGCTTTGAAGCCTGACCCGGTACCCACTCTGCTGGAGCTGGGAATAGCCGCTTGCATGAAAAATGCATGGAACATGGCATTAGTTAGGATCTAGGTCGAAAGTGCTAACAGTGGCTAAAGCATTCAGCTAGACGACGGCTCGCGAATCTCAGACGGCCGCTCTTCGCGCTGCATGATGTGCATTTGGGGTCGATGAGGCTTTGCCGCTGAGATGTAATCCTTCACTCCCAATGTCCTTAGTTGCCATCGCCTGAATATGACCCGAAGCAAGGCCCGAACTAGGACGTAACAACTTATAAACCAGAAGGACCACGTTTTGTCGTGACACAACCATTGCTTCCTTCATCCTTGTTGTACATGCATTGCATTGCTAGCGTTTAGCTACACTGTTCTGTCGTTATGGACTTCCTGGCATCGTTCATCTTAGTTGCATCTGCTCTTTCACGGCAGGTGGTCGCGGTCACTACACAGCAAATCCAGACCGACTTGTCCTCTAATCTCTCTCATGGATCACGAGTTATTTTTACAACCGATTCTTCTTACCCTACTGAATTCACGCAACGATGGAGTGTCTATACCAAGGCCGAGCCAGTTTATGCTGTTGCTGCCAAACCCGCTACAGCGAGAGACCTACAGACAATCTTGCGATATGCGACCAAGAACAAGGTCCCTCTCTTAGCAACTGGAGGTGGCCACGGGTACTCGACGACTCTTTCTGGTCTACACAATGCGCTCGACGTTGACCTCAGCAACTTCCAGAAGATTGAAGTCGACGCGTCCACCAACACCATGGTCGTTGGGGCCGGTTCAAAGTTCCATGACATGTTTGATCCGCTGTATGCGGCTGGTAAGATGATGCGTAAGTTTCCAACATATTCAACATCCTTGTGTACTGACAAAGCTTCCAGCTTCTGGTGGGACTTCTCCTCCAAGCATCATCGGCCTCACGTTGGGTGGTGGTGTGGGACCTTTGGCTGGCGAACACGGACTCTTAATCGACTCTCTACTCTCCGTGGAGATGGTCGCCGGATCGGGCGAGGTTCTAACGGCGTCGGCTACTGAGAACTCCGACCTCTTCTGGGGCATGCGTGGTGCGGGCTTCAACTTCGGCGTGGTCACATCCGCGACCTATCGCATCTACGATACAATTAACGACGGCATGGTGTACAACGCAGACATGTCGTTCACAGCTGATAAGAACGCTACGATATTCGAAATCTTCCAGACTTATCAGGGCAAGCAAGATGGTAAGCTGGCATTAACGATTGGATCCTCCATAAAGAACAATGTCGTAAGTGCTAGCCATGTCTGGTCGGATATTTGACCT